GAGGTTCCTGGTGGTGGTGCTGGGCCAGAGGTTCCTGGTGGTGGTGCTGGGCCAGATGTACCTGGTGGTGCTGGGCCAGAGGTTGTGGGCTCTGGGGAATGCAACCGATTTGGAGAGCCATATCAATAGATTGACTCGGATGAAATTGGGGAAAAGAAAACGTGTTTTCCCCGTGAGATTTGGTTTCAACAAATCGTCCCATTCTACACTTCACTGAATGATAAATTTCCATCAAACGTTTCATTTTTTGATCAATTTTGCACTATTGGTAAGTACCCTGCTCGTGACAAATGGTTTAGAAAAAGTAGGCTGGCATGTAAAAGAAAATCAGATGAAGTGAAAAAGAAAGACAAACTAACAACAAAAACATCAGAGGGATGAGAAGTACTACTTCCAAATGGTACTTTCTAATTACCCACCAACATGCGTTATTCAAGTGGCACAGAAAGACAAGATGATAAATTAAGAGATGGCCATGGAAAAACAGACACAGACACCTGGACAGTTTCACAAATTGACACGCAGACAAACAGAGGTATAGAGGTGACATATGGAGGCCAGATATTAACCAAACCACAGTAGGAGGTCAATCATTGGTGCAACAGAAGATCACAATGCCCCTGAACGTTCAGTTTACTAAGACTCGCGGACTACCATGCGAAATATGTATGGGATAATCCGAACACAAATCAAAGGTCACAAGAACACCTTCCTATGATGTTGCAACACACTACAGATATGACCCACCTTCGCAAACTTTAGCTGTCACAGAGGCATCTTCAGGGGCCAAAACGATGACTGGATTGTCACCACTTGGAATGTTATCAGGAGTCAGTTCCTGTACAAGAATACACCAATAGGAAAAATAGGCAATACGTTTCAACTTTCGAGTATACTTCTCTAGTCTACTTGAATGAAGTATTTAGCCATTCATACCATCTACATTTTTTTGTATTAAGGAAATATACCAAGGGCACTTATCTGCTTTATGCAAAATAATTAGAAGCATAAATGACATTTGTAACCTTTTTCCAACGTTTCTATAAAGGTGCATATTTAAATGGTAAAATCAAAAGGAAAATGAAGGGGGGCTTAAAATGAACACAAGAAGAAAATACAAATTATGCGGCCTAAATAATACAGGAGCCATAGTTTTGGTTACACTGTAAAACAATAAGAGTGGGATTTTTTTATTTTGGACTGGCTCCAAAATCATTTAAATGTTTACTTTGGACACAAAAAGAAAGGTCATATACCATTACTACATCAAACATTATAACTATAATGTGAAACTAGGCTACAAGAAAGAAAGAGAACCGGGCACATAAAGTCTTAGTATAGACTCACTGAGATGAAGTTCCTCCTTTTACACATTACCAATTCATGGTTATCTGCGAGTCAGTTTGCTGCCATTTATACTGATGAAATTGTAAAACTTTCATTTGACTGCAAAAAAAAGCGAGACATTGAAACTTCTACGCACTAAACATCAAATATTGTAGATATTGAAAGGCTACCAGAGGTTCCTGGTGGTGGTGCTGGGCCAGAGGTTCCTGGTGGTGGTGCTGGGCCAGAGGTTCCTGGTGGTGGTGCTGGGCCAGAGGTTCCTGGTGGTGG